TGTGTTGGTCACAAGAGTCTTGAGGCTTACATAAAATGTCACATGCCTCAGGCTCATTCATATCTCTTTGTGGATGTAATCACTAGCAGAGCTAAAGGAAGCTGACATTTCTTTGAGCTTCAAAGGAAGCCTCAAAATCTATTATGAAGAGATTTTTACTTTTTACCAAAAGACTTTTATCTTAAACATTGAGAAGCTTTGAAAGTAAAAGCAGAGTATTATTTTGGGGAACAAGGAGTGAAACTGCAAAAGGGACTCCTTCTATGGAAACACGCTGCTAATCAGTAGTTCAAGAATGATGGTCAAAGGTAGATTATAAGTCATCTAAAGGTTGTGGCAGGGGAATTCTCTCATCCAGCACTAAAATCAGTTCCTGATTTTAGTCATAAAATCAGTCATAGTGGATTAAGATGGGCCCTGATCCAATGGCTAGTATCCTTATAAGAAGAGAGAAATTTAGAGGTGCCTCGGTGGCTCAGTCAATTGAGCATCTGACTCTTGTTTCCAGCTCAGGTCATGATCCCAGGGTCATGGAATCCAGCCCAGTGTCTGGCTCCTCACTGAGCATGGAGCCTGCTTGGGATTCACTCTCTCCCTCTGCCCCTCTGCCCCACTCATGCTCTCTTTCTCAAAAAAAAAGGGGGGGAGGGATTTGAATGTAGATACTGACACAGAGCAGAATGCCCTGTGAAGATGGAGGGAACAATAGCAGAGATGAACCTACAAGTCAAGGAATGCTGAGGATGGCAGGCAATGAGTAGAAACTAGGAAGAGAAAATGAAGCATCCTTCTCTAGAGCCTTCAGAAATATCATGGCCTTGTAGACACCGTGGTTTCAGCCTTCTATTCTCCAGGACAGCGAGAGAATAAATTTCTGTTATTTAAGCAGCCAGTTTGTGCTAATTTGTACCCCAATGTTCATAGCAGCACTCTCAACAATAGTCAAAACATGGAAAGAGCCTAAGTGTCCATCAACAGACAAATGGATCAAGAAGATGTGGTTTATCTATACAATGGAATACTACATGGCAATGAGAAAGAATGAAATCTGGCCATGTGTAGCAACCTGGATGGACCTTGAGGGTGTTATGCTGAGCGAAATAAGTCAGGCAGAGAAGAACAAATATCATATGTTTGCACGTATAGGAGGACTAGGAGGAACTTAACGGAGGATGATGGGGGAGAAGAAGGGAGGAAATGGTGGGGGAAAGGGAGAGAGGCAAACCATGAGAGACTCTTGAATGCTGAGAACAAACTGAGGACTCATGGGCGTGGGGGGGAGATGGGCATGAAGGAGGGCACTTGTGGGGATGAGCACTGAGTGTTATATGGAAACCAACTTGACAATAAACTATTTGTAAAAAAAAAAAAAAAAAAGGAAAGAAATAGTACTTACTATTGAATGAGTAGGCCCAATGCTAGGGGAGAAAAGGAATTTATAGTTTGGTGATAGAAAAAAAAGGCAGGTAGAAAGTATTCTGTTTTCTAAAAGAGAAACAGACAAGTCCCTGAGTCTCAATGAGGCAAATGAAACTCAAGAAGGTGAACCTACTTGCTCAAGTTGACACATCTTTTAATTGTTAGAGCTGAGATTTTTTTCTCTTACATTTGATACTAGATGGAATAAATGGAGGAACTGAGATTCAAACCTGGGTCAGGATGGTACCAAAGCCTGAGCTCTGCTACGCTACACTATGCTGCTTCCCACTGGCTCCTGCTTTAGTTATCTGGGAGAGGCTAACGGACCTGGTCTACTAGGTTATCAGTAATGAATAAAAAGGATAAGTGGGTAGAGGCAAGAAATAAATGCAGGACACACAATTAGCATGACATAGCAACTGACTAAATGTGGAGAGAAAGAGAACGAATTAGAGATGGTTTAAGCTTGGAACCCTGGGTAGCCAGGAAAACAATAATGCCATTAGCAGGATTAGTGATCTCAGGGAAAGGGTCTGTTTTTTATTCAGTGAGAGCTCTAATCCTTTAAAATTCTGTTCTCATTGTTGCATGTGAATTTAGCCTCAGTCCTTCCATCTTGACTCAGAGTTTACCTTCTGGGTCTACACTTGGAGGGCTACATAACTATCCTCAGGCGCAAGGAAAAAACAAACAAGTAAAAAGGTAAGGGTTAATGGTCCCTGTTAATGGTTATTTATGACACAGCTGGCATACTCGGTCCTTGAGGTAATAACTATTCCCTTGACACACCCCTATGACCCTAAACCTTGCCTTCAGAATGACAAATGTTTTCCTACACGCCAGGATAAGGGCCGCTCTCTTTATCACTCTGTAGTCTTCTTACAATAACCACTCAATTCCGCTTCTGTACTGCCCGCTTGCCTGCTTGCTCATCATAAAAAGCCCTAAGTCCTTGAACTCAGGGCCGCACATCTAGAGTTCTGTGTTAACTCTGCAGTCCCGGCCGGTAATAAAGACTCCCTTAATTCGGCTTCAGTGGTCTCGGGTGGTCTCTGTCTCTCTGCATGACATCATGTCACCTCCTCAATGTAATCTTTTCTGAGACTGTCAGGTCCATTATACAGTATTTTGTATCTCAACAACAACAGTAACAACGATGATGATAATTAACAGTTTTTGAATGCAGACGGAGGGCTAAGCATGTACTAAGTTCCTTTTATTTCTCACAATAACCATGTGATATAAGTATTATTATTATTAACCCCACTTTACAGAGGAGGAAACCGAGGCTTAGGGAGTTCTAAGGCTATAAATATTAAAATGGTAGGCGCTCCTGGGTGGCTCAGTCGGTTAAGTGTCTGACTTGAGCTCAGGTCATGATCTCATGGTTCGTGAATTCGAGCCCCACATCAGGTTCTGCAGAGCCCATTTCAGATTCTCTGTCTCCTTCTCTCTTTGCCCCTCTCCCACTCGTGTGCACATGATCTCTCCCTCTCTCAAAAATAAACATTACAATTTTTTGAAAAAATAAATAAGTAAAGAAATATTAAATGGCAGATCAAGACTTGAACTCAGATTGGACTCAGAGGCAGCACTGCCTGGGTCTGAATCCTGCTCTGCCATTTCTAGCTGAGTGACCTTGGGCAAGTTATTGTGTGTCAGTTTTCACCATGTCATCTATTAATGGGAATAATATTAGTATCTGCCTCCTAGTATTGTTATGAGGATTAAATGAATTCATATGTATAAAGCACTTAGAAAAGTGTGGCTGTCACATAGTAAGTATGAATCATTGCACTCATCTCTCTCTTGTAATTATTGGAACTTTATTTCTCACTGAACTGTGAACTCCTCTAGGATAGAAGTGTGTGTGTTCCATTTTTCCTACCCCAGCAGCTAGCACCGGGGTTGCCACGTGTTCGGCCCATGCAAGCATCTGTTGTCTGAATGGCATTATTTGGGCAGCCTGAAATTCCATCTCTGAGCCTAGGAGAAGGGAGGTGGGTGGAAAAATAGGTATGAGTTCCACACTAGACATTTACACCTGACAAGTAGCAGGACTGCCAAGGAAGACAGCATGGAAGGAATAGAACACCGGAGAAAGATTGACGGCAGGAGATGAAAGAAACCAGAAAAGGGACTCTTGAGAGGATACACTTTCAAGGAAACCATTAAAAGAGAGAGAGAGAGAGAGAGAGAGAGAGTTCAAGGGGATTGAGGTGAGTCCAGATGAAAGCCTGTCTTAAAGGTGGAGTATGAAAAATTTGTGGTTAGCAAGCACCTGACTCTGAGGTCTAAAAAAAAAAAAAGGTTGTTTGAGTCTCATAGGAAGGAAATGACAGTCATTGTGTAATAGCATTCTAAAATTTGGCAGGCATTCAAGTGTGGGTCTCTAGCTGCCTTGCCGGTAAAGTTGAGACAGCTAGGGGCCATTGTTCCCAGGAAGAAGGGAGGGTTTGGGCCTCTCCAAGGTGCTACTTCTCAACTAATCATAACGGAGTCAAGGTATAGCTTCACTCACAATATCAGATAGAAAATTCAACTAAAACGTCCATTTTTGCCCTTCATTATTAGTTTAAAACAGGTAAAGGAGGATTGATGTTTTTTGTCAGGTGGACAAAATTATTAAATTTTTATCTGAAGTATCTTCCTCATTACACTTCAATCTCAGTAGGGTTCCACCACCCACAGAGACTGAATAACCGGTTTTCCAGGTTTTTCCTGACTGAGCTCTGGTTACTATAAACGATTTGGGATCCCTACTCCTCCTGAGAGGGAGTCGGTATCAGTATTGAGAAAAGCGTTTTTATCAATAGCAGCTAGGGCCACTTTTGCGTTAAAAAAAAAAAGTTATTATTTTAAAGTTTCTGAGGACTAGAAAACTCCTTTCAGTGGTCAAATGGACCCTCAGGAATATTACCGAACAAGATATAAATTTAGTGTCACAACATATGGTCTTATGGGGATTTTCCCAGTAACTGGAGGGACTGAACCAAAGCACCTTCCTAAAAAGGGCTTTTCCATACTTACTTAGGTGAAGGAGCCCCTGTTCAAGGCTCTACTAGGGATCTAGCACCTTTAGCAAGGTGTTGCTCACTCCGGGGTTTAAATGTTCTCTTCTGTAAAATAAGGGTAAAGGGTGCGTGTGTATGTAGAGGAGCCTGGACTGTAAGCGCTTTTAAGCTGCTCTCCAGCTCTCTGGTCATTTCATAATGATTTCATTCCTTCCTTCATGCTTCTTCTCTCGAAAAAAAGCTGTGAATTCTTTGGGTATGAAAAGAAAAACAACAGGCAGCCTCGCCTCGAGGGTTAAGTATTAGGGAGAAAGAATTCGGAAGGGCGCGGGGGACTCAGAGCCTCCAGCACCCGCACCAGCAGTCCCCATAGGCAACCCAGCCCCCCGGGACCCGGAGCCACAGCCCCGCGAACAAGATGGCGTCTCCACTCAGGGTCTTGCCTGCGCCCCCGCAACTCTGCACTGCGGCAGCCGACCGAGGCTCCACCCCATTGGCTGACTGCAATGAGGTCATCGTGGGGGCGGAGCCGGAGGCTACGCGGGGGCAGGGCTTTGCGGACGCACGCACGTCGAGCGCTGCTGTCCCGAGCCGCGGAGGCTGCGGGCTTGGTCTGGGGCGGCTGCTTTGGCTGCGGCCCGGCCCGCGGCTGAAGGTGAGCCGGGGATGTAGGTACAGCGCGGCAGGGAGCGGCCCCGAGGGGCACAGGATTGCCTTCTAACAGCCTCCTCGCTTGTCAAAGGAATTAGCAGGGATCTTAGGTCTCTGAGAGGAAATGGGGGTTCACCCCTCTTTGGGCACCCCTCCTGTGGGCAGAGGAATCGGAGGTTCACTCCTCTTTGGAGGCCCTGATCCCTCCCCCCATATAAAGCGTGGCGGCGGAACTGAAGGTCATTGGGTAGGCAGAAGAATTTAGGGGGCTTCTTAAAGGGGCTCCCAATTTGATGATTCCCCCTTTTTAATCGCCACTTCTGGAGGTAGGTGTGCCTGGGCTCAGAGAATTCCTGCTTTCTCACTGGGTAGACAGGAAATGAAGCAGGTGAATTTGAATACATCGTAGGAGGCGAGGACTGGATGACAATAGTGAGGCAGGCGCCGGGCGCTTTATTTGTACTCATCTTGTGCAGAATTACTGTTTCTTCATATTTTGTTTTGTGACATCGTCCCACCCCTGAATTGCGCTGGCCTAGTTTTCTCTTTGGCTTCAGTGGGATAGCGATGTACTAGGGAGACTTGTAATCATTAAAGAACAGAAGCAGGGAGGCAACTCATTATTGGCAGCCCCTGAACTATGCTGATCAGGCATAATTTTACCTGCTTTAGAGGCTGTGAATTCTGTCCTTGTTTAGGTGAAGATGTGGGAGGGTTGATAACAGCTGTTTTGAGTGACTCAGGTATAGACAGTTTTAAAGTCAAGCTACGTAATCTCTTGAGAAAGCCTTGCTTCTATGAATGTGTTGTTTTGCTGCCTTGAATATCAAATGCACAAAGGTTTTGTCATTGAGATTTCTCAAAATGTCTTCCAGCCTTGCAGAACAGTAACTCTTCCTTTGATGCCAGTTTCACCTATCATTATGGATGCCCTCATGATACTAAAAATACTGTACGGTTTGCTGAGTTGAGATACTGTACAGTCTGTGCCTTACAATAGCTGATTGCAAATAAATAATTGCAGTTTCAGGACCACTGATAGCGCCATTGTCTTTCATACCGGGAGAGGATAAGACAGCCCTAAAAGAAATCTTTATTGGCTCCTGCATGAGAAGCTTTAACAGATGGAAGAATGTGATTAATCTTGAAGGATGGGGATAAGAAACGGAAGGCTAAGGAGGTGGCCAGCTTATACTCTGTGGGTTGATAAAAACTGCTTTGTCATTATCAATGTATCCCTGTCATGCTGGACTTGAAATCGAGCTTAATATGCAAGCTGGCTTTGTTTTTTTTTTCCTTAAGTAGGCTCCACACCCAACTTGGGGCTTGAACACTTGACCCTGAGATCAAGAGTCACATGCTGTACCTACTGAACCAGACAGGTGCCCCTCTTTTTTTTTTTTTTTTTTTTTAAGATAATGCTGATGTGTTTAGATTCCTTAGGGAGAAAACGGTGTTTTCTGAGAAGCTGGAAGGTTAAACCCTTTAAGGCAGCCTTAGCTCTAGAATAGTGCTAGGACTCTGGCAGTTAGAAATGGGCAGTAGAGGGTAGAAAACTAGTCTCAAGGGAGACATCCTTTATGAGAGGGTAATCTAGGTCTCTTCTGTTTATTTCCTGACACAAACCCAAAACAGGTTGGGTAGTATGAACATCACTGACTCATAATACCCTGTCCAGGGTATTTAAAGAGCTGTTTGGGAATCCCAGTTCCTGTTTTTAAGCTGGATACTTTCTTATGTATTGAGGTGCCCCCAAATATTGTCATTTGATCCTGATGTTGACTGCAAAGGAAGTGACTTTTCATCAGGCACTCTGCAGGAGAGGATTTAGCAACAGCCTTTTGCAATTTCTTCTTCCCACCTTTAAAGCAGGGTGTTAAAAATCTGTCTGTGAGGAGTAGAAGATATGAAATGCAAAACAAAAGAGCTTTACTGCGGTGTTGTTTGCTCTTAGCCCTCTTGGTAATGTCTGAGATCATGTGGTTTTCTCTTTTTGCTTTAGGTTGGAGAGAAATCCGTATACTCAGTTGACTGGCACTGTCTGCCACCATGGGGGAGCTTTTCCGAAGTGAGGAGATGACGCTGGCCCAGCTTTTTCTACAATCAGAAGCTGCTTATTGTTGCGTTAGTGAATTAGGAGAGCTGGGAAAGGTTCAGTTTCGTGACGTAAGTAGTTGTGGGGCTGCTTCTTGAATACTGCTGAACTCTGTTTTTCTTGTCATGGCTAATTGCTGTATGATGAATGTGTTGGGTTTTATTTGCAAAAATAACAGTATAGCACTAGATTACTGTTGGTAGAGAGTATATTTTGTGTTGTCTGTCTAGAGGTGAGAATGTTTGTGCCAAAATTTCCATAATTTTACTAGATCCCCCTTTGCAAATAATCCTACACCGGTTCAAGGTAATTGATTGGGATGCAGGTGGAGGACACCAAGGCTTACACTTTGCCTTTGGCCTCTTTAACACCCGTAGCAGGTTATTTAAAAAAAAAAAAAAGTCATAGCTCTTCCATTCAATAGGTCATGTTTATTACAAAATCTGATGCATCAGATACAAATATATAAGTAAGCATATACCAAATATCCATTGTTTTGAAGCATTATGTTGAGCACTTAGAAAAGATATCTAAAGAAAATCGGCAATCTAAGAGTATAAAAAGTATGCCCTATGGGGCTTGCAGTCTGCTCAAGAAGTCCCTGTTGAAAGGAAGGAGGGGTTAACATTTCCCTGATTACGAAGCTCAAAGCTCCATGTACTTTCACTGATAGCTTTCACTGTAGTTGTGGTTTTACATTCAGTAGTGTTAGTAGTTGATTAGTCTCTGTCTTCTACTGTCATCTTAGGATGCTGAAGACCATCATTGTGTCCTTTGTGTCCACATACAGGATACTCGGTCAGCATTTGTTGGAATGAATGGATGAAAGAGGAGTGGTCAGAAAGGGGTAGGATTAATCGATATTGAGTTCCTGAGATTGGCACACTGAAATTACACGAGTATAGTCCAGTGACATAGTATATTTTTTATTCTCTTTGAACCTTTTTATACCTTCTCTCTTTGAATGTTCTCCTACCTGATTCTGGTTCCTTTTCTTAACATTCTGAGGGCTCACTATTAATCTTCCACTAGTCTTTTTTTTTTTTTTTTTTTTAATTTTTTAATATTTATTTCTGAGATAGAGAGCATGAGCAGGGGAGGGTCAGAGAGACAGAGGGAGACACAGAATCTGAAACAGGCTCCAGGCTCTGAGCCAGCTGTCAGCACAGAGCCCGACCACGGGGCCCTAACCCACAAACCGTGAGATCATGACCTGAGCCGAAGTCGGACGCTTAACTGACTGAGCCACCCAGGAGCCCCACCACTAGTCTCTCTTATCTTCTCCACCTTGGCTTTCTGTGTCATTGTTCCCCCAAGCTCTCTCCTCTGCTCCCTCTGGAAAAGCTTCTCCATAGCCACATCTTCCTTTATCACCTTTTTTGATCTCATCTGTTTTCAAATCTTTCTACTTTCTTTAGTGAGCCCCAAATCTGTATCTCTGGCACTGACAGCTCCCAAACACCATCCCTAAATTTACAACTCTCTAAGAATTTTGTCATCTCTGCTTTTCATGGTAGCCTGTCTAAATCCGAGCACGTTACCTTCTCCTAAACTATGTCTTCATCCTGACTTCCTAAGTTTGAGCTAATACCTTGATAGTCTTCCAGTTTTCTAGATTTGAGACTTAAGTCAAACCTAAGTCACACTTAATTTGCAATCCTTCATTTGGTCCTTTGGTGTCTCTCCCATCCTAACACCCATGTATCTATTCAGTACTTTTTTTTTTTTTTTTTTTTTTTGAGCGAGAGGGAGGGAGGGGCAGAGAGTATAAGGGAGAGAGCATCTCAGGCTATCAGTGCAGAACCTGACACGGGGCTTAAATTCATGAACCATGAGATCATGACCTGAGCCAAAACCCAGAGTTGGACGCTTAACTGACTGAGCCACCCCTGCGCCCCTCTATTCAGCATTCTTAATTTTTTACTTATGATGTGTTGTAATCATACAAAAAAATTATAGAGAATAGTATAATGAGTACTTCCATTTCTACTATCTACTTAAGAGATCAACATTTTACACGTAATTGAAGGCTCCTGTGTATCCTTCCTCCATGCTATTTTCCCCCCCACCTCCCCACAAGTAACCTCTGCAATGATTTTTGCCTTTTTTTTTTTAAGTAAGCCTATGCCCAACGTGGGGCTTGAACTCATGATTCCAAGAGTCACATTCTTTACCAACTGAGCCAGCCACATGCCCCAGTTTTTGCTTTTATCATTCCTGTGTATTTTTATCTTTTACTTTTCTATGTATATATGTATCACTAAATAATAATATATACTAGAATGATTTTGCATTTTTTTTTAATATTTTTATTTATTTCTAGGAGAGAGAGAGCGAGAGACAGCGTGAGCAGGGGAGGGTCAGAGAGAGAGGGAGACACAGACTCTGAAAAAGGCTCCAGGCTCTGAGCTGGCAGTCAGCACAGAGCCCGACACGGGTCTTGAACCCACGAACCGCGAGATCATGACCTAAGCGAAAGTCGGACGCTTAACCGACTAAGCCACCCAGGCGCCCCGCATGTTTTAAAACTACACACATGGCATATTGTATGTCAGCACTGTGCTTTTTAAATTCATTATTTGTGAGATTTGAACCACCTATTACAGGTAGCACTAGTTCATTTCTTTAAATTGCTAAATTACAATAGTTATTGTAAGAATATACACAGTTTATAATTTTTTCCTTCTGATGAACATTTAAGTTAATTGCAGTTCTTTGTTATTACAGAGTTTCAAGGAAGATGCTTGTATACGTCTCCCGGTATTCATGTGTGGTAGTTTGTCCAGGGCAGTGGTTCTCCAAATTTTTGGTGTAAGGGCCTCTTCACACTCTGAAAACATGATTGAGGATCCTAACGAGCTTTTATATGGGTTATAGCTATCAATACTTATTATATTGGAAATTAAAGTGAAGATACACTTAAAACTCTTATCTATCTAAAAAGTCACATTAATAAACCTGCTATGTGTTATAAATAGCATCTTTTTGAAAAATAACTCTATTTTCCAAAATAGAAGAACTGCATTGGTTTTATATTGTTGAAAATCTCTTTAATGTCTGAATTTAATAGAAGACAGCTGGATTCTCCTTTCTGCTTCTGCAGCATCCGGTTGTGAGGTAGCCCATGAGCTTCTGGAAAACTTCACTGAATATTCGTCAGAGCGAGGATGAGAAAGGCAAATGATGTTTAAGTGTTAATGTGTAAAGAGTATTGATCTCATGGCCTCGCTGGTGCTCCAGGGATTATAACTAAGAAGGGCATTGCTGAGTATGGTGTGCCTCTTTAACTGTTAGGGTTGTGAAGTGCTGGATTTTTGTTGTTTTAATTTGCATTTTCTTGATTAGTACACTTGTTATCTTTTTATCTGTTTATGGGATATAATGGGTTTCATTCTCATGAATGTCTTGTCCAGATCATCTATTGTTTTTCTATTGAGTTGCTTATCTTTTGCTCACTGACTTAAAGAATATGTAAAAGTTCTTCATGTATTTTGGAAGCTAATCTTTTTCTAATCCTTTACTGATAACTTGGCTTGTCTTTTCCCTTTTTAAAAACAATTTTTTTTAACATTTATTCATTTTTGAGAGCAGAGTGTGAGTGGAGGAGGGGCAGAGAGAGAGGGAGACACAGAATCAGGAAGCAGGCTCCAGGCTCTGAGCTGTCAGCACAGAGCCCAGCACAGAGCCCGATGCAAAGCTGGAACTCACAGCCTAGGAGATCGTGACTGGAGCTGAAGTCAGACGCTTAACCGACAGAGCTACCCAGGCGCCCCTGTCTTTTCCCTTTGTTTATGGTATATGTTGTCACATGTAAAGTTAATTGTTCTTTTTTGCTTATTAGTATTTTCCCCTAAATTTTTATTTTGAAAAATTTCAAGGCTGAATACTCTGATAGAGATTCACCACTTGCTAATATTTTGCTATGTTTGGTATCATCTTTTTTTACTGCACTATTGAAGAATAAGCTGTTTCTTCCTTTCAGATCTTTATTATTATTTTTTTCTTATTTTGCCATGTACATTAGGACCTTTACTAACGTGATGAAGGAAAGTAACAGCAAACTAATGCTGGTTCGGATTGTGTTCAGCTATGTGTAACTGAAAACCTAAGTGATAGGGGTGTACTTTCTCACGTGACATGAAGCCCAGCTTCACACTATCACCAGTGTCCTAAGATCATTCTATATTTCTTTTTTGCCATCCGCAACCATTTGGCTTTTGTCCTCGTAGATGACCACCAAAGCTCCAGGCATTGCATCCATATTCTAGGCAAGAAGAAGGAAGTGCAGGGGCGCCTGGGTGGCTCAGTCGGTTGTGTTCGACTTTGGCTCAGGTCATGATCTCATGATTCGTGGGTTCAAGCCCCACGTCGGGCTCTGTGCTGACAGCTCACAGCCTGGAGCCTGTTTGAGATTCTGTATCTCCCTCTCTCTCTGACCCTCCCCTGTTCGTGCTATCTCTCTCTCTCTCAGAAATAAATAAAAACATTTTTTAAAAAATTTAAAAAAAAGGAAGTGCAGGGAGAAAGGAGAAGTACTTCTATCAGGAGAAAAAAAAACTTTCCCCGAAATCCTCAGGAGAGTTTCCTCATTTTTGTTGACTAGAATTATGGCATATTCTAGCTGTAAGGGAGTCTGGGAAAAGTGGTTTTTCAACTGAGCAGTAACTGCCTTAAACAAATTTTTTAAAGTTTATTTATTTTGGGGAGTGAAAGGGTCAGAGAAGAGAGAGAATCCCAAGCAGACTCCACGTTTTCAGTGCAGAGCCTGATGTGGGGTTTGATCCCATGAACCATGAGATCATGACCTGAGCCAAAACCAAGAGTCAGACCCTTAACTGACTAAGCCACCCAGGTACCCCTGGGGTTTTTGTTAATAAGAAGTAAGGCTATATATCTGTCTCATGGCATTCTTGTCTATGCTCCTCACTTTAAGGGGAATCTAAGTTTACTTACTATTTATTTATTTATGTAATCTCTACAGCCAACATGGGGGTCATATTCTATGACTCTCGAATCAAGAGTTGCATGCTCTTGTGACTGAGCCAGCCAGACACCCCAATATTTCACAATT